CTCAACACATCCACCCCCCGCCCCGTAGGCAACGTCCTCCCCGTCTTCGCCCCCCCCGGTTCCAAAAACCTCATCACAACTCTACTCCCCTTTCCCCCCACCCCATCCATCTCATAACCCCCCCCGGGATCAAACCTCAACGGGTTCCCCCCCACCCTAAAAAAGCTCTCCACCACCTTCCCAGTATTCGTATTGAAAATCCTCACCCTCCCCACCATCTCCTCCTCCTCCCCCCCTTCTTCCCAATCCCCCTTCCTAATCCCCACCACCCCCCTCCTCCCCAACCTCACCATCCCCGCATCAAACGCCACCGGCCCAACAACACTGCTCAAGTTCCCACAGTTGCCCCCCATGTCCAGCTTCTCCTCTTTAATACCGACCTGCACAAACGTGAAATCAACATCGACATCCCCCCTCGACGGCGGGGACAAGATACAGATCTTGCTCGTCGACGACAACCCCGACCCCATCCCATCTAGCTGCCTCCCGTACGGATCGGGCGAGCCCATCGCTCTGGACAGGACACGAGGCCAGTGCGACCGGGGGGGCAGGTCATGCTCCATGACCACAAGCCCGTTGGACGTCCCGCCCCGGGCAAAGATCGCGGGGAAGGATTTCGGGGGCGTCTGCCGCGCTGCCTCGAGGGGGAGCCGGACGAGGCGGGAGGAGGAGGCTGCTAGGGATTTCCTCATTGTGCCTTGCCCTGCCCTGCCCTGGCCTGGCCTGGCCTGGAGAGAGGGGGGGGGGGAATATGAAGGCCGAATAAAGAAGAATGATGTCGAATTAGGAGAGGGTGTGTGAAAAAAAAATTCCGTGTTATCGATTGCGCGCAAACATGTGAGCGACTTTTTCTCAAAAGTGAGTGTCGTTGATTCGTGATGAGTGGTGACTGGTGGCCAGTGGATGCAAAAACACACAAACATCGAATCCCTTCCCAAACTGGTTTGGCGACGTCAATTGATTGGATGCAATGATTGTGCATAACCCTAACCCTTCAGTGGAAACCAACCCCGTAAACTCCCCTAACCCTGAATTTAAAGGGGTAATTCTCTCATAAACGGCTGCCTGCTATCCTTCACTTTTCAAAAGAAATTGCCATGTTGCAAGCTCGCGCAATTTGTTCAAGTTGATCATTAAAAATTACTCTGTCCCTTCTCTAGCATCGCTGCCTAAATCTATTCTTTTACCCCCTCCAAAAACTCATTCCAGCATGATCATCTGATCGTTCCCCTTCCATTTTCCCATCCGTAGATAAAAGTCAAACAAGGCCATATCCCACCAAACTTTTTTGTATCTCTTTTTGGATCCCCCATAACTCCTGTAAAAAATAAAAAAACCTTCAAAATCACCCCCTCCTCACCCAACAATCGGCCTCAACCCCGAAATCTCACACCTCGGCATTCCCTCCTGCCAATTCTGTTCCACATACGGCACCAAAAAGTCCCTCAGCGTATAGTTGGACGGCTCCATATAAAACTTGATATCCTCCGCTGTGTAATTCCCCCCCAGCGCAGCCAGCAAATCATCATTGATGAAGTCGTTAAACACCAAATCCACCACCCTCGGCTCCTGTTTCCTCCCCTTTCTCCCTCCCTTCTTCCACTCCGGAAACCCAGCCGTAGTCCCAAAGTAACCCGGAATCTCATACTTTGCAATCTTCTCGTGAACAGTATCATCCCCATCCACCCCAAAATCATCCTCCGTCGTATAACCCACCTCCAACACTTCCTGCTTCCTCCCCCCACCATTGCCCACCGGAACCCCCATAATCTCCTCCCTCTTCCCCAGGACTTTTCTCTCTTCCATAACCCCAAACTCCCCAATCGGTGGATTAGTACACTCCTCTCCCTGCCAAACCCCAAACTCCCTCTTCCCCAACTTGGGGGCGCCAGTAGACGTGGTATTATACTCCACCCTCCTCCCCTGTCCCGCCCCCTTCTTGTTCATCCTCTCCAACACCCCCTTGGCCTTCTCCCACGGAACCTCGGGGATATACACCACCAGACTCGGAAACGGCGAAGTGATATAGCTATCATCCATCGTAAATGGACCCTTGTGCAAGTCGAACCTCGCCATCCCCGTGTTGCTGATGTGCACCCTGGGGATCTTTGCCCTCTTTGGGTTGACAATCTGATGGGCCATTGCGTCCGCCAAAAAGGTGTACATCGAGTTTGGCGCCATAAACGGCACCCCCGTCACCCAAAACGTCTGTGGCACGCAACCGTACACCTTTCCCAAGCCTAATTGCTGACGGTAGGATGTGATGCTGGACGAGACTTGAGCACCCTGTTGTTTCAGTTGGAAGGAGGTGTTGGAGGCAGATGGTGAGGAGATCAGGTTTGGATGAGAGTGGGCTATGGAGTTGTGAAGGAACTGAGAGCCGGGAGCGTGGTAGTCAAAAGTCAGCCGGTTCCAGTCGAGATACCGCCGAGAGTACAAGAAGGGCGGGGTATTTCGCTCGCCTCTCTTGTCGATGGGGGTAGGGTTGACTGGATTGGCGACAGTGGCGGTTCGGTTGGGGTTGGGGACGCCTTTGGGGTTGAGAGGGCCAGTAAAGCCGCTGGTGGAAGAGTTGAAGCCTGACATGGAGAACCAACCAAGAGACTCGCAGTATCGGCCTGGCAACGTCAGTTATACTTCATGGGAAAAGGGGCAAAGGAAGACACCTACCAGACTCGGAGGCGGTGGAGCTCTGATCATAGACTACAAAATCTCGCATATGACTATGTCCACCTGTCTGCTATTAGCTTCTCCCATTTCGGTATCACTAGGCGATTACATACCAAATATTTGAATTGGGGTGTTAGGATGAGCCTCTCGGATGGCAGAGTAAACCGTCTTCATCGTACTGGCCTGTCGCCCCGGGCGTGCTGAGTTGTGGCCAAGAACAAGGAAGACATCAATAGGTTCCGGGTGATGAATTGCTTGCTGGAACCAATCCTGTTTGACCATGTCTGCAGCCTTGGTGATTCGTGAGGCGTTTGTATTGGCTGCTCAGGGTTAGGAGAGTCCCCTTGGTATATGCGATCATGGACACTTACCACTGAAGTCAAAGAGAACACCAAAAGCCATAATGCGAAGGCCTAGGAAACATGATTGAGCTATGTTCTTCTATCGTAAAACGTGAAAGCAACTTACCATGTTTTGTGGTAAAATACTTGTGCGTCTTCCCAACATGCTCCCACTCCTGAGTCTCAGGATTCATAATCTCGACATTGGAAGTCAAGTACTTGTCGCCCCATGCCCGGCTAAAATTGTTGAATGTCTGGTAGGCCACCTCGGACGCATACAACTCATGGTTGCCTTCACCACTCACCGATGTCAGTACGGATTCGCTTGAAATCTGGAGGAAAAAGGGGTGAGGAACACACCGATAGTCAACAAATCATATTTAGTCTGCTTGACAAAGATTTCATTGGAAATCTCCCCGTTTGGCGTCGTAGAATCACTCAAGCCGGTGCCATCGTGGAGATCACCAGAGTCTACCAGAAGCAGATCCACCCCAAGACTTTCGGCCGTACTTTTCATGCTTGATACAAACGAGACATAATCGCCCCAATCTGCGCCATAATTGGCCTCCTTGATGTGGCCGGAAAGCCACCCATGGGTATCGGACTATTGTCAAATATTGTGAGTACAGATTCGAGCAAAATTCCAGGGCCTTTCCGCGGTAAGAACTGTTTTGTGGTGCTAAAACCAAGATGTCAACTGACCGTATGTAGAACATTCAGCTGCCCCCATTGCAACGGTCTCGTAGGACCATACCTCGCGTCCAGCGCCCCCGGTTGCATGCGTTTCACGACACGCACATGCTTCGAAGCATGCCCCTCGATGGGACCGTAGCAACTGTCACAAGCCAGCACCGCCGGGCTGAGCGTTGTGGCAACAGCCAACAGCCCACCCGCTACAAGAGGCAGCTTCATCGCGGTGTCGTCGCCGTCGTCGTCGTCGTCGTCGTCGTCGTCGTCGTCGTTCGTTCAGGTCCGGGATTGGACAGCACCGTTGGCGATCTGTATCTTCAACCTCAAAAAAGCGAGATCGATCGGCGATGACCAGGCCAGGCTATCAAGAAACCGGGGCAACACCAGCCTTAAAAGGGAACGGCCTTTTGCCCTGGGTCCAGCTGTCCCGACTTCCGGCACACCAAAGCTTAAAGTTGAATTAATATTGAACGAGCAGGGGACAAAAACGAGGGCTGGAAAGGTTTTGCTTAGTCTTGTAGGGGTCCAAGGGAATGGGAAGCCACGTACCTGTCCGTCCGGGCCTGGGTCCCGGATTCTTTTTATCTTCCCTGTGAGGAACCGGATAATGAGTCAGCGCAGCCACAAGCCCCTGGGGCCGGAGGAACGCCACTCGAGAATTGTCGGCCTATGGTCCATCGACACCACCGTTGAGACCAGGTGGTAGTTGGTCACTTTTGGGCTGACCCGAGGATGTGGCAGACGATTTCTCCCGAAAGACGTGTGGAAAACTCCTGATGTGAAAGTGATTTGCGTGCCATAATGATAACTTCCCTGGCGGAAGGCCCCGAGGACCTGTCATAAGATGATGTTCCTGCCAGCCCATGGTTCCTCGCACCTTCCCCATGCCATGTTCGTGACGCAAACCTCATGAGATGTGCTGTTTTGGCAGGAACGAAGGCCACTATTATGCTCCAGACATCTCGGGCATCGACGGAATAACCAGATTTTCAATGATGTGTGAGACCTCCGTCGTATACTAGCATAGCGTTCAAGACACCACAGAAGGCAACAAGTAGACAGCTCAAGTAGTGAGTTGAGGCCTTCTCCGACGGCCCCGATAAATCAGGGACTGTCTGCGGGGGTACATGATATATGCCTCACTTCCTAAAGGTCGGCCATGCCGAATCAACAAAACATACGAATTGTGTTTCTCTTCGTTCGGAAGCCGTCGGGCCAGTGGTGAAATAAAACCAAGCCCCAAAAAGTCTCAACCAAAATAGTGTCAGCTTGACAACTACGTTTAGGGCAAAAGGAATTTGGATGCACCCGGGATTGAACCGGGGACCGTTCACAATGTAATCGCGCCTTTGGAAAGATGCGAAGCGAAAATCATACCACTAGACCATGCACCCTCAGTAATTGTTGACATCAGCTATTGAGATTGGCTTTACAAGTGCCCTCAAAGCAGACACTTGGAGGAACACTCTTTTCTTCTCAACTTCAGTTAATGTACAAGGGGAAGACTTCGAGTCATGGTGAACATATTATTAGACTAAAGATGCGGGACATGCCCAGGGTATCATTTCTTGCGTATAGCTGAAATATAATGCTTCTTCCCATGCCACTCTAGAGACCACCACTCTCAAGAAGAATCCTGCTTGTTGCCCACTCAAAAGTTCTTAACTGTATCGCTGGCATCCCAAGCTTCGTCCGCAAAGTCACGCTCGTCCCACTCTTCGTTTTCTGAAAAGTTCTGAGCTGCATACTGATAGGCGTTGTGGTCAAACTCATCATCCCACTCAAGTTCCTCGTCGGGGTATTCATGGGCATAATAGTTCTCCGCTGCAAAATTGTCAGCTTGTGGTCCGCTTTGCTAGGAGCTTTACGCTACTCACCGTTCTCGTCATCCTCGTCTTCGGGAAACTCATCATCGCTTTCATCGTCATTTCCGTAAAAGAAATCGGCGATATCGGGCTCATTGTCAAAGACAAGCAATCCGACACGATGGGCTGGCACCACCTGGTCCCGTAGCCGCTCCGCGGGGACACGTTCGTACGTCTCAATCACATAATCATCGTCGTCCGAGGTGTCGATCATGTCGACATCCATGGTAGATGTTGACGCTGCAGCTGCAGGCGCGGCCGCTTGCTCCTTAGCGCGCTGCTGTTGGGCCACGTTCTCTGTCGGATGCCGCTCATGGTAGCGGAGATTGGGTGCCTTTGGTTGGAACCGGGACTTGACTGGGCTGGACTTGGATTTGGCATTGAGATGATCCACTCGGTCTAGATTCTTGTTGATTTCACTCAGTGTCCAGAAATCCATGGCCCTGGAGAGTTCGTCCATATTGGCTGCTCGATTGTGCATGGAAGGGGGGACAGTGGGTTTCGCGGGTGTTCCGGATTCGGCTGTTGACTCCTTGTTCCGAGGCTTGGTTCCTGGTCGCTTGTAGACGACAGGCTTTGACTCTGGTTCCTGGGGGTTCGGGGATGAATCCTTGGCAAGCAAAGAGCTGTGTGAGGACTGTGTTGTGTTGGGTTGGTCGAGAATATCCTTCACAATCTGGGGGGTCAGAATTGCGGACTTTTGTCTCTTTGGGCCCCTCTCGACAAAGACAGCAGTGGCACCGCGCTTCTTGGTCACGCCAGCGGATGGCTGTGACGAGTTGGGCCTCGACAAGTGGAATTTACGCAGGTTAACTGTTGGGTCGCTCAAATCGGATGCACCCGGTGCCAGTCCTGTTGCGGGCGCCAATGCAGGCACGGGCTCAAGAGTCGTGGAAGCATTAGAGCTCGGGGCCTTGGGTGTTTTCTTGGGGCGATTCAGTCGTTTCTCATCGCCTTCCTGGGTAGGCACAATGGTAGGAACTTCAGGACCGGCGTCCTGCTTTCCCTTCTTGTCCTTCTCGACAGCAACCTTCTTGCGCTGATAGACCCAGCCGACCTCCTCAGAGATGATGCGATAGCGCTTGCTCCTATCGACCCCTGTGATACACAGTGGTCAGTACAGCGAACGACGCATAGGTAGATGGACGAGGTTTAGAAGCACGCACGGAGAAAGTCGACAGGGGCATCATCAATGCCACGTTTGCGCTTCACCTGGATCGTATCGGGTGGTAATGCCGCCATTGTCGGAACGTTGCAAGTGGTGCGTTGACGTGGTCTGCTTCGGATGCGAGGTGTGTTGGAGCGGGCGGTGACAACGGCGATGGGGGACGTGAGTTGCAGGAAGCCTGACGGTGCCTAACCCGGGATTTCCTTTTTTTTGCTCTCTAGCTTGCCGAGAAAGAAAAAAAAGAGGGTCGAGGGAGCAAGTCGATATTCGAAGCTTATTCACTTGCTCTGCCGCTTGTCGAAGATATCGAAATCTGGAATACTTCCGAGACAAGACACCGTCGGGAAGCGGTCGTTAGACAGGGTACAGGGGTAGCTGATGCCAAGAGTCGAGGATCTCGCGTGGTTTTGCGACAATGTTTCGCAATGGAAAAAAAAAGGCGAAAGCTGAGTAAAAGCTGCGAAGAACAGTATTTCCTCCTGATGGATGCCTGAACTAATGCAAGAGGTAGCGAGGGCCGCAACCAAGACGACGTAGAAAATGGGATTTTGTTTATATAACTGGAGCTTTGGGACAGGAAAGCGTCGTCGTGAGGGTGAGGGGTTGTGTTGAGATGGACTGATGGAACCCTGCAGTGCACCTGAAAATAAGGCGGTGGGAGATGGCAGTAATTGTTTATCGATGTTTTTGCCCAAGTTGACCGCCAAGCGGCGCCGGGCCTGTCACCGCTGTCGATGACGCACTGCAAGGCCTTGGAAGGCTCTTGGCGGACCGGGCGGGGGATCGACGCTAGCTGCTAGCTCCAGAGCTAACGACCGTTCAAGCACCAGTCAACGGCGTTTGAATAACAGCTGGAGGAGCTTGCTGACCACTGTTGTACCTCATATCGTTATCATCACTGCGTGCCGCCCAAAAATCATGTCCACTCGGGCTGGGATAACCTGGTTGTTTGGGTCGACGTGCAGCAGCTTGGAATTCAGCTCTGCTTGCTGGCACTGGCAGCTTCGTTGCTCCATTCCATGAGTCCATTTCTTTGTCTACTAGCCTAGCCCCCCGAGTTCGGTGAGGCCGAGATGGAAAAATTTGACACTTTTGGAAGTTGTTCAGTGATCAGTGTGTTCAGACCGCTTGATTCCAGTTCCATTCCATTTCCTGCGGTGGGTGGGACGGAGATATCACTGCCCTGTAGGTCTTCTTCCCGGGTTCCCTTCCTTATCTTCAGAGTGACGGTGAAGACAGCAGCTTCGTGCATTGCTCCTTCTAGCCTCTGCTGCCGTGCAACTCTGCCCCGCGCGATTCCTGCCCACCTTGATTAAGTCCCACACCCCTCGCAGAACCAGTGGCGTGATGAGAACTTGGAAGGAGAACTCTCCCTGAAACAATTGGGTGCGGCGCATTCTCGACCTCGCTACCTTACCTTACCTTTTACTTACCTCTCTTTACCTCCTGTTCTTACCCACCTACCTCCCCCATACCTGTTGTTAACTCAACCCACCAGCAGTTTACTCTACTTCTGGTTGGTATCCTCAGCCATCATCCTCTACCTCATCAGTGCAGTGGTGATAGTTCAATGACGCGGTCCCCTTGTGTCTCAACCCCCTGAACCGAATTCCCTGCCGGCTACCCGACATATCCGTCCGCCGTCCGCCATCCGCCACCCGCCCGCCATGCCGTCGGACAAGATTCCCATCGTCGTCACGTACGAAAAGCCCGGGACGCAGCCGCCTATCTATGTGGCCGGCACCTTTTCAAACCCGCCATGGACTCCCGAGGAGATGTCTTACACCACCGAGGAGAATGGCGAGCATCTCTTTACAAAACAGGTGTTTGGTGAGGTTGGATCCAAGCACCAATACAAATTTCGCATTGGAAACGGTGATTGGTGGGATCTGGCACCCGGTCAGCCAACCGTGACTGATGCGTCTGGCAATACCAATCACGAGCTGGAGATTCAACCACCAAAAGAGTAAGGGCACACAAAATGTTATATGTCATAGATATACTAACGCATGCAGATCTAAAATTGATTCGACCGAGGACAAGGGGCCAGCCGAGCTGAGCGAAGATGCTCAGGCTCCAAACGAACCAGTCGAGGTTAACGACAAGTCACAGGCTGTGAAGGAGCCAGCCGAGGTGCCCCAAGCGGCCGAGGTTTCAGAGAAGCCAACTGAGGTGGTTGAAGAGACCCAGGCCGCGGAGCCAGTCGACGCACCCAAAGAGGTCGAGGCTCCAAAGCCAATTGAGGACGTTGAAGAGACTGAGGCTCCAAAGGAGCAGGTTGAGGCACCCAAAGAGGATGAAACTCCAGCGAAGCCCACCGAGGTAGTCGAAGAGACTGAGGCTCCAAAGGAGCCGGTTGAGGTACCCAAGGAGGTTGAAGCTTCAAAGAAGCCAGCTGAGGTGGTTGAAGAGACTGAAGCTCCAAAGGAAGCAGTCGAGGTGCCCGAAGAGGTTGAGGCCCCAAAGAAGCCCATCGAGGTCGTCGAAGAGACTGAGGCTCCAAAGGAAGTCGAAGCTCCAAAGAAGCCAGCTGAGGTGGTCGAAGAGACTGAGGCTCCAAAGGAAGCAGTCAAGGTGCCCGAAGAGGATGAGGCCCCAAAGCAACCAACTGAGGTCGTTGAAGAGACTGAGGCTCCAGAGGAGCCGGTTGAGGTAGCCAAGGAGGTTGAAGCTCCAAAGAAGCCAACTGAGGTGGTCGAAGAGACTCAGGCCCCGAAGGAAGCAGTCGAGGTACCTGAAGAGGTTGAGACCCCAGAGAAGACAGTTGAGACTTCTGAACAGCCTGAAGCTTCCAAGGAACCGATCACGGCGCCCGAACAACCTGAAGCCCCGAAGGAGCAGACTGAAGTGCCCGAAGAGATCCAGCCTCAAGAGAGCCAGCCTCAAGAGGAACCTGCCGATGTCCCTGAGGAGAAGGCTCCCAAGATCAGCGCCAAAGACTCGACGACTACCAACATAGTGCTGCCCAATGAGAGCATTCTGCAAGCTATCAAGGCTCAGGAGATCCGGACACAGTCTGGTACCGGCACGCCGGATTTTGTTCGAACTGCCGCAGAGGTCGCTGATTCTGCCGCGCTCTTGAATGAGGGAGTTCCGGCCAAAGACCCAAGGGATGGCTTGCTGGAGAGGGCGCCTACTCCCATGTCCACAACCGCGGAAACTGCTGCCGAAGTCGCGGACACGGCCGAGGTTTTGGATCAGGTTGATGTATGAATATCCACTGTCCCATCAAATAAGTATGCACGCACAGCACTGACAATGGCAGACTATCCTCATCTCAGAGCCCCATGCCGACGACGACAGCCTCCTTGGCCCCCCAAGCGCCAGCCAGGGCGACGAATTTCTTGCCCTCAAGTCGCCG